TTTTTTTTTTTTTTTTTACTTTTTGAAAAAAATGCAAGGGGCAAAATTGTCCAAGGGGGGACGGTGAGTAGTAATAGGAGGACGGTGAATAGCGATTGAGATTTTTTACTAATTGAATTCATATCCAATCACCCCTTTAACTTGTTGTGCTCTTGTTTTTCTTCCAAAATAGAATATGCTCAGCCCCCTCTTTTTCTTCTTCCTCAAGAAAAAAATATACGCTAATCTTCTCAAATCTTTTTATTTCCTTTTCATTGTAGGATACCTAATAAGATAAGGAAACACAATAATATTCGTATTCAAGATAAAAATAATATACCAAAAATAATGTATACCTATTAAAAGATAAAAATAAAAATAAAAAACAGAAAAGCAAAACACATATATAAAATACGAATTAACAGTGACTAAAGGCTAAATCAGATTCGTATTCAAGATCCTTTTACTATAAATCACGGGAGTTTAAAAATATTATAAAAATAAATAAATCCATCATCAAAAGCAAAATATTTTAAATAAACGATTCAAAAACTGGTGCTAGGTAAATAAAAGTACAGCATTCAAATATTGGTTTACATCAAATAGAATTGAAAGATAGTATTCGAAATTAATTAGTTCCAAATCTTTATTCAGTTCCAAAATTCAATTTTTGGTAATCTTAAACTTTTTTTCAACTATGCTTAAAGTTAGTTTGAAGTTTTAACACAAAGTTACAAATTCATACCTCATTTGCTAATCGCTATAAGTTAGTCTATGATAAATAACAATAAAAATATTAAAACTTTTATTTAAAACCGGTTATCATCTGATTTTCAATCATCAAACATAAACTTTACCAAATATTTCTGAAAAAAATTATTGGTATCTAGATTTAATAATCAAACATAAACATANAAAAAAAAAAAAAAAGAAAAAATCAAACATTAAAGTTGAAAGATATTGGTTATGAGTTAATTTGGGTGGTGTGTAACACTTGACCGGGCAACCGAACTTCCAAAAAAACCGACCCCTCGTCGGCAAAGCTAATCTCTCTCTCTCTCTCCACTGACACTGTAACAGTAGGCTTACACGCAGGCATCACCAAATGCACAAACACAACCCTTAATTCCCCCATTTTTCTGATTTAGGTTTGGGCTTTACTGTTCACAATTATTGGCATCCGCTGCGGCTAAAATGCGATAAAGTTGCAATCTTTTTATTGATCTGATTTTGACGCAGTTGTTTGAATTTGCAGGTTTCTTTCTCTTCGACAAGGATATGAGCAGAGAGAAAGAGGGGCCGCCGGAACCCCTTGATTTCTTCATTTGGACTGTTGAGGTGATTCTCTTTTCCACCTCCCTTTTTCTTTCTTTCTCTGTTTTTGTACATTGGGATTGATCTTAAATGGTGTTTTTTTTTTTCATTATTGGATCTTGTGCTCTGTTGATTATGTAATTCATTTCTGCAGAAAATGGGTTTGGGTATGGTGAATTGTTGATTGAGTCATTTTGATCCTGTGCTCATGATAGACTGTTTGTCTGACGAAACAGGAGTTGACGGGTGCGGTCCAACGGACGTGAAGCGCACAAAGTAGGTTAGTCTAGATGGGACTTAGTGGGGTCCATCTTAAAACCAATTGATGGTAGTAGGAGTAGCTCACTAGGCTTATAAGTTAGGCCTATTTTTCCCTATATAGACGATGTGAGACAAATCACAAGTATATATTCTAACATTGTCAGCCCTTTTATCCAGTTGCTGTTCTCTCTTTCGTCGATACAGTTGAATGGATTCATCGTTCTCTATCCTCTTTCTTTTTTATGCTCTGACATTTGTGCATTTTTCTAGGACTGAAATCTTTCATGAACTTTGCTAATGGGTATCTTTTTCACTTCCATAATGTCCTTTACTAAGAAAAGAGAGCTAGGTGGAACATAAGACTGCTTCAACTAGCTACTTAGATAAGGAATATAATAGAAGAATGGTTGACCTTGGTGTTTGTTCTCGAACGAGCTCGAGGAAGGACGAAAATTCTAGGAATTCGTTGAGAGTTAGAATAGATTCGTAGTTATGAAGTGTTTTTGTAACCAAAATTTTGATGTTTTATATTTCTCTTTTCTGTTGATAGGATGTTGGCCTGTGGTTGGAAGAGATAAATCTCGGTAGCTATCGCCACATTTTCAAGGAAAACGGGGTCAATGGAGAGTATTTGGAAGGGATGTCGATGTTCACGACCGAGCAGATCTTGCGGTTCATAAGGAAGTGCCACATGAAGTGGGGAGATTTCATTACCTTGTGCAAGGAACTGAGGCGAATAAAAGGTGCATTCTTTATCTATTTCTCTTGTGTATAGCCCGTTCGATGTGAAAATGTGCTATAAGCCTAGAAGCTACATTTCATATTGTTATATTAGCAAGTTAGGTTCTTTTTTAATCTTTGAGGCATCCCAAATGAAATCTCGAACTTCTTGTCTTGTCATGAGCATGGGCTATGAAGTTCTGAGACTTTGATTATCCTAGCAAACAGTTGTTCCAATAGGCGTGAGATGTATTTGTTGATAATAGAAAGCGACTTTTGTGATATTAATTTCTTCTTTATTGGTGTCTTTGTGACGTCATTCACAATTTTACCTTTTGAATGACATGGTAAGGGAGATTTGGGGTTTCACTTGTTTGCCTCTATTCCAAATTCTTTATTTTCTTTATTGAATGTGATAAATTACTAGTCGGTTCATGAGGGATATGCTTTGTTAGGATTGTGTTCAACTTTATGATTTCACTTTTTATGGTTTCATCAATTTACTATTAGATTTAGAAAAGGATGTGAAAACACATCACATCTGATTGGATCCATTTCACTGCTTGCTCCCACTTTTGCAATTTACATGCTATCGATGTTTGATATGCATATTTTGATATTTTCTTTATATCCTCTCTCATCTTCACTCTTCATCCTTTCCTCCTTTTAAGTTGTATATTTGACGACATGCAATTCCCGGGAAAAAAAAAAAAAGCTAATTCTGATTGAATGCGACCAGTGGCTTGCTTGAAAGGGGAGCAAAAAGTACGACGGCCCTGGTGGGCCCCACGATGTCTTTTCATCAAGGCTGCAAAGCACAACAGGCAATCTCGAGTTGTTTCCTTGAAGGTGGAACCTTGATGTAGATTTTGCTCCTGTAAATCTACTTGGATTTGTAGATCCATGTGGAGAAAAAAGAAAAAAACAGAAACTAGCAATAGTGAAAGAATACGCCTATATATATGTATGGTTTGGTTTTGTTTTTGTTTTTTGGGATTTTGTGGGTTCTTTCTTCTTTGAAGAACCTTGTGCTTGTCTAAGTAAGTTGTTTCTGGATAATGTTAAAGTTTCTCCTGTTCTCTTTTTCCTTGGGTTTTGTTATGTAACAGCATATAATTTTGTTCGAATGGATGCATGACATTGTGATTGATATGTAAATTTGTGATACTGTAGTTCTTAAAAATGCATAATTTCACAGTGAAGCAAATTATTTTTCAAAGTAATATAAGACAACCATACTAAAAAATAGGTTGGGAGAAGTTGTTCTTTCAAGAAATTAAATTTCTTGATATATTTACCGCTCAAAGGTTAAGATGAAATTTCATATGAGAGATGAGATAAGATTCTTGGTATATCCACAGCTCAAAAAGGTTGAGATGAAAGTCCATTAGAGATATGAAAGGTCTTGATATATTTACCATACAAAGGTTGAGATGAAATTCCTTAAAAGATATGGAAGGTCATGACTCATGAGTGTCTTATCTAAGCATCCCGAACCTGATCCATGCTGAGAGCATCCTGGCTATTTGGGCCACCCAGGTTGTTCTCATGGGCTATGTTGAAGGATACAAATTGAAGGATCCCCGCTTAAAGAGGCCCTGGACAAGATTACCCTGGTGGGTCGTTCAACCCGTTGGGCCGGGCTGATGACCAGAGGCATTTGCCAAGATCAGGGTTAAGGAACTCAAGAATGGGAGATTGGTCATGTCTCCTATGCGACTAACTTAATTTGTGCCAGGAAATCGAGATAAAAAAATAATTTATTACTATTGTGTTGAGTGCCAAGAAAAAAGACATGTGTTGTTGCTTACGCTGAGAAATTCGTCTGTGATTTGAGATGTACTGCAGTTTTTATATATGTTAATGAGGCAATATGTCAGCTGCAAAATTACGTTAACTCGTGAGTGATAATTGATAAACTTATATGCTATGTAAATACCATTTCTAAATTTATGTTTATAATTCCAGAGGAGTGTAACTAGGTTGCCAATAAATACCATATTTCATGAGTTCCCGGATATCAAACTGATCATGACTAGATCTTGAAATGGAAACCACCAACTTATAATTTTGGAAAGTTCATTCTCAACTGAATGTGGTATGAGGATGCTGGTCTTGAATGTACTGTCTGAGCATATGATCAATTCTTGAACTTGGTTCTTGTGTGATCAAACAAGATATTGAAATCTCTTCGGCTTATGTTTGATTTTGTGCTTATGATCAACTCTCGAACTTGATTTTTGAGCTTATGTTTGGTTTTGTGCTTTTGTTTCAACCCGTCTCATGTGTTATGTTTAGTTTCGGTGTGTGCTAAGAGTTAAGAGATTGGTCGAGTTCCTTCAAATACAAATATAGTCAGTTTCATCGAATGCTGAGAGTCATGAGATAGGCCGAGTTCCATTCGATGCTGATATAGTTAGTTTTGTCATATGCGAATATGTTTAGTTTCTTTTTTTTTTTTTTGTTTGGTTTGTTACTGTGTGTGTAATGTGTGTTTGCATGGTTTAAAGCCATGCATTTGCCTCCATCCTTTCTTCTTCATGTAGGATATGTATTAGACCGACCTCACTATTATATCAACATATTCTTTTACATATATGCACACTTTTATTAGAAAATGACATACTTTAAACAATATCATGAAAAATAAAGTATGACATTTGAATTATAAGTATGCATTTTTATTCATAGAGTACTGACAGGTACCTCAAATATTTCTCTTTCTAACCAAACAATTACTAGTTCACTATACATATAAGGTGATTACTACTACGTGTTCAAATCAAACAGGGTTCCATAAAGGGGAATGTGGGTATGCTTGATATACTAAAAAATTGTCACTTTTAGATCTTGCTCAAAGTTTGGTTCTTTTACATATCGTAGGCTATGTAGTTCGTTGTCTTTTGGATCAAGATTATTATAATTTTCAAAAAGAGATATCATTACTTCAGACACACATCTTCTTGAACGAATATCATAAGTTTGGAGCCAAGTGTATTGATTGTTATCGAACAATGCTTCAAATTCTAACTCGGTTATTAATTTGCATGACCATCGAATGACTTTTTATGTGAGCTCTAAGCCCACCAGAGAGATTATCAAGGACTGCAAGTAGTTCTACATCGTTCACTCTGCAAGAATTTGGTTTTTTAATTTTGGCTCATGGTTAATGCCAAGCTGTGTGTTGATGTTGTAAATATTTTTATCGGAGTAGAATCGAAAGATTCGAACACCGGGTCGTGTCTCTCGAGAAAGGTTAGCCGGAATACTCTATACGTTTATTCAAGCACAAATAAAAGGAATAAAATTCCTAAACATTCTAATTCAGGAGTTTGGTTTGATTATTATCTATGACAGTTCAAATAAAGCAAATAGAAATTTAAAAGCAAAGACGATGAGCAAGCAAAAGGAAAGAGCTAGAGAGTCGGGGATATCTGTTTTGGTTCGAATTGCAATTAATGGACATCATCCTCAATAACTCTTAGTAACAAGAGGACAAACTTGAACGACAAATTAATAATTCATTTAACACCTAGGCAATACAGTTACGAACAAGCCTAGCCTATACGAGTCTATTTCGACCGACTCCTCCCCTTTCGGTTTTAAGAGTCAATTAAGATAGACTAGAGGATGGTTAACTGACTAATCAATTAGAATATTCAACATCATGCAAGAATAAATCGAACTCAATTGAAAATCAATTGGAAGTTGAAGTGTCACCCTTCAACAATCCTCAATGTTCAAGTACGACAATTGAAAACCCTTATAAAAGATTAACTCGCATAAGAAGAACAATCAACGAATTACCATAATCGCAATCGAAATCAAAACATCATCCGATGTTCCCTAGCAAATGGATTTAGCTACTCATAATTGAATCAACACAAGCATTCATATCAACCCAAGAACTCATATTCATCAAGTTAAATGAGAAGAAAATCTTATGATTGACAAAATCCCAAAGTTGAATCTGATAAACAGGCTTAAATCCAAAGCATATGAAGAAAATTCCACTCAAATCCACGAATAATTCGTGTTTTAAGATGAAAAAGGTGAAAGAAAAGTGAAAAGAACGAGAGAAGAGAAGAGAGGGTAGGGTTTTTATGTTTCTGGAGTCGAAAGATAATCCTTCTGTAAATCCCGATCTGATATATATATGTGTGCAAGTGACACGGCGTGAGAGGCTTAGGCGCGGCGTGAAGGAAGGTCTGGCCGCGGCGTGACGCTTCATCACGGCGCGGCAGGGAGGATCACCGCGGCGCGGGACTTCATAACGGCGCGGGCTGGAACGTCTGGGGCCTTAGTTGTTCTCGTGGCAGCTTCGCAGCACGGCAGGAGGGCTCTTCACAGCGTGGCAGGTGGGCGCGGCGCGGCAGGGGAGGTCATCGCGGCGCAGCATGGTTGAAGATCGGAGTATCTGTCGAGGTCGCTCTATGTCGCACGACTTTACATTTTGTGCTCGTATACGCCCGTCTGAACTCGGAATCTGATTCTGTTTTCTCCTGTGTGATGCCAACAAATTCCTCTATTTGATTACGCTTGCCCGACTAATGTTTTCTTGAAATCCTCGAGACTTTAAACCTGCACACAACGACGATGAAAAACTGAAAAAATACCCGAGAAACACATAGAAAACCAAAATAAAAAAAGACGCACAATAAATTATAAAAACGAATAAAAGCTAACGAAAAGACCTAATATGGGGGGAAAAAAAAACAAAATGACAATGAAAAATGAAACAAAAATGGGACAAACAATTGACATTATTTGACTTCAGACTATTTTATTTCATTTTTGTGTAATATACTAATATTGGTATTGTTTTGAAAAATGAAAAAATAAAAATAAATCCAAAGCCAAAATAGGTGAACTGAAAATAGAACAGCTTTGTTCAATTGTAACCCTAGCCTAACACTGTTAATTATTAAAGAGGGAAAGTTCAAGACTGGTTTGCTCCTTTCCACGTTCTCCCACCCATCAATCATCAATGTACAATTCCCATTTATGGCTTCCCTTTTCGCATTAGCCACGCTAGAACTCCACCGCCGCCGCCGCCAGATTATTCAGCGCCGGCGGCCTTGCCTCTCGCCATGGTAAAACCCCTTAAATCCCATTACTCCCGATACCTCCTTCTCGGCAACTCCGTTCTCCGCCGCTGTCCCTCCCTCCGTTTCTCATCAAAAATTGATCTCCACAATCACGGATCTTCGAATCTCGTGCACCGCGTCTGTGAGATATTATCCAATCCACGTGTGCCATGGCGGGGCAGCTCGGAGCTTACATCCCTGAACCAGAAGCTGAAGCCTTGCCACGTCTCGAAAATTATCGAGACCCACAACAACACCGATTCTGTTCTTCAGTTCTTTTTCTGGGTTTCTAAAGCGCCTTTCTACAAACATGATATGAGATGTTACGAGGTTATGTTGCATAGGCTTGTTAAAGATAAGAACTTTGCACCCGCAAACCACGTTCGGATTCTAATGATTAAAGCCTGTAGAGACGAGGGGGAGATTGTGAGGGTTGTCGACTTCTTGAATGAAATTTGTAGAATGGGCCTTTCTTACAATTTATATAGTTTCAATTCTCTCCTGATTCAGTTGGGAAAGTTTAATATGGTTGCTGCAGCTCAGAATGTGTATAGGGAATTATTAAGAAGTGGGATCAGTCCCAGCTTGTTGACACTGAATACCATGATTAACATCTTTTGCAAGAGGGGAAAGGTTCGGGAGGCCGAGATTATACTGGCCCAGTTATATCAGTATGAATTTTCACCTGATGTGTTCACCTACACTTCTATGATTCTCGGGCACTGCAGGAACCGTGACTTGGATAAGGCGTTTTGTACTTTTGATGAGATGCTAAAGAAAGGTATTGACCCTAATGCAGTTACATATTCTACTCTTATTAATGGTTTATGCGATGATGGAAGGGTGGATGAGGCTCTGTGCTTGGTTGATGAAATGATGGACAACGATATCAAACCCACGGTTTATACCTTCACTGTCCCGGTTACTGCATTGCTTGCAGTTGGGCGTATAGATGAGTCTATTGCTCTTATTGCTCGCATGAGAAATATTGGTATACAACCAAATGTGCAGACATATACAGCCCTAATAAGTGGTTTGGCAAAATCTAGCCTCATTGAAGTTGCCATAGGGTTGTACCACAAGATGGTGAAAAGTGGATTGGCCCCCACCACTGTCACATACAATGCATTGATAAACCAATTGTGCGAGAGAGGGAAAATAGATACTGCCTTTAATATCTTTAACTGGATGAAGAGATGTGGCCACTTGGCCAAAACCGAAACCTATAATTCGATGATGAAGGGGTTCTGCGGGGTTGGAAATGTCGAGAGGGCCATGATTCTGTTAAATGAAATGCTGACGGTGGGTCCACCTCCAAGTGTGATCACATACAACACGCTCATCAATGGATACACGAGACGGGGCTATCTAGACAATGCTAGGAGGTTGATGGAGGTTATGAGGGAAAATGGATGTAAACCTGATCGAGTGACGTACGCAGAGCTTATTTCGGGGTTCTGCAAAGGGGATAGGCTTGCTGAGGCTTCCACATTATTTCAGGATATGAGCCAGCAAGGTCTGAGCCCGAACGAGGTGAATTATACCTCCTTGATTGATGGTATGTGCAAGAAAGGAAAAATTGATGATGCGTTGATTTTATTTAGTCAGATGCAATCGGCTGGTTGCCGTCCGAACATTGAGACGTACAATGCCATCCTTAATGGCTTAAGTAAGGAGAATAGGTTTGCTGAAGCCGAGAAGCTTTGCAGTAAGATGATGGAAGCTGCGCTGTCCCCTAACGTGATTACGTACACCACTTTAATCGATGGCCTCTGCCGGAATGGTGGGTTCCATCTCGCTCTCAAAATTTTCCATGAAATGGAAAAAGGAAATTGCTCACCCAATTTGTACACATATAGTTCTTTGATCCACGGTCTGTGTCTGGGAGGTCTGATCGACGATGCAGAGATTTTATTCAAAGAGATGTGGACTAAAAAATTATATCCCGATGAGGTCACATATACCTCGTTGATTGATGGATGTGTCTCTCTAGGTAGACTAGACCGTGCATTTTCGCTGCTTTTTCAGATGATAAATTCAGGCTGCAAGCCAAATTACCGGACTTATTATGTTTTGCTGAAAGGAATACAACAGCACAGTAGTACAGCTTTTGAAAAAATTGCTGTTGGACATGAAACTACGAACAGTCAGATTTTAGATTTAAAAGATATTACCTCTGATACCTTCCGTTGTTTATTAGTTAGGATGTCCGAGGTCGGCTGTGAGCCTTCAGTTGATACATATTACACTTTAGTTTCTCAGTTGTGTCATGAGGGCAGAAGTCGTGAGGCAGAAGAGTTGGTTGAATTTATGAAGGAGAAAAGTCTGAGTCCTAATGAGGCTATATATTGCTCTCTTCTCAGTGCGTACTGCAAAAATCTGCAAGTAGATGCTGCTCTGAATCTACTTAATTTGCTGACTCTAAAGGGTTTCAAGCCTCCTTTGTCAATTTATGCAGCAGTTGTATGTGCTCTCTGCAAAAGAGAACGAACCAAAGAGGCTGAGGTGGTTTTCTTGCGAATGCTTGAGAAACAATGGAATGGTGATGAGATTGTGTGGACCATCTTGATTGACGGCCTTCTCAAGGATGGGAATTCGAAAGTGTGCATGGATCTTCTTCATGCGATGAACTCCAAGAATGTCCCTATTAGCAAGCAGACGTGTTCAATGCTAGCAAGCGAGGTGTCGAAAATCGATAAATCAAGTGTTGAAATTCAAGCTGATGATGCTTTGGAGGTCCTAAGAAACAAGTAGACAGGCTTGGTATCCGTTCTATTAGATGAAGTGGGACGAAGTTCTGCAGAACATGCAGATTTTTACAAGTCAAGCCTCATCGAATTAGTGGTGAGCTTATTATGCTGTTCTTTTTATAGTTAGCTTCTACTTGCTAATGTTTTTTAATGTCTATGTGTCTCAAGAATATGTTCATTGTCATGCAGATCACATTAGATGCTCGGTCATTACTATGGAGCTGCCCAATTATTGGTATCTCACTCGTGGTTGTCATATGTTTTATGAATGGGATGTGGCCTAATGTGACTGGGTTTATTTACGATTAAGGTATGTTTTCACTTTATTTAGATGCTATAATCAAATAAACAGCAATAGTTGATGCTGAACCAAACATAGGTTGCTTAGTGGGAGTTGGGTTTTGTTATTTTCAGTTGTGTGGTTCTCAATTGTATCGATGGCCAAAAACATCCAAAAAGTCCTTATAAATCTCAATTTGTCAAAAACAAGGAGAAGATAAAGGAAAAGATGTTCTAAATAGTAACACACGTATGGACCAATTATGTTTGACTGACTAAAGTCAAGGACGTAAGAAAGTGTTCGAAAATCAAAAGAATGAAATTACAATAGTAGCTACCTGTCAACAGAAGGTAGATCTTGTTGTAGGTAATTGAGTTGACTTCATCCTTTCAAAAAAATGATACTTCGAAGCTCTATTTTGAATCTTGTTGGGTTTAGAGATTGGCTTGTGAGGGTGTTGGTAATTTATATCGTGATATTTGAAAGTTGTGCTGTTTAGATGTTCTTTCTTGGCATCATTTAGCTCCTCCATCTTTGACTTGTAAACTGTGATCAACACACCAAAAATATTAGTATATATTAGTTTAACAACCTGAGTATTTGGTTTATGATATTGGGCACAATTGTCATATGGTTTATGTGATAATTTTTGGCTAATGAATCACTTTTAAATAGATATTGCCCAAATATGTTTAATTTGATAGGTTTTATTGCAATATCTCCTTGAGCCTCTGTTGTATGAATGTTGATTTTGGAGGAGTTGTTTGTTGTTATTCAGGTTTTGTACGGTACCAAGCTCGAAATGCAAACTGCTTCGGTCTCAAGTTGTTGAAGATTGGAAAGAAAACCCAATGCAATTGCAATGACGGGTTTTTATTTTTTATGTAACTCCCCATTCTTTTTATTCTTTGCCACACAATTATGGGCTTCTGTTTTCTATATAGAGCTTTTTTTTTTTTCGATATCTATACAGAGCTTTGTAAGCTTAAATTAGCATTAACTTGTATATGCTACACATAGTTTTCTTCTTCTATTTTTAGAATGCAGTGAGTGACACAGGTAATACACATGGTGCCTGTAAAACAAGAATAATGTAGAATAAATACACACTATAAGCTCACTCACTTTATGTTCATATATGTGTGCAACAAAAGCGCATACATGTAAAGTTGAGATCATATGCACGACTTATATGCTCGATCAATATATGAAAAGCAGAAACAAAAATGCTTGATCATTTTGAAATCTTGCATATATATCTCATTAAATATATTACTATATAATACGGAGAAGAAAAAATGTTTGAAAAAATATTTCAAATTCCCGCTTAAAAAACTGTTTTTCCCCTTTAAATTTAATTTGAATTTTTTTCATCCCCTTTTTTTTGCCATGGACTAGTGTGTATCCCGTGCGATGCACGTAGGAGCTCATATTTTAAACCTTTTTTAGGCTTTATTTTATATATAATTACTTATATTTTTCACATCTCATCTATTATGAAAATAAAATAAATAGAAACAATGAAAAATATATATTATTAATCACTTCTATTTATACAATATTTTTTTTAAGTAATATTATTAAACCTTACGGTTTTGATTTTATATTTTATAAAAGTCAATTATCTCCATAAGAATAATCATACCATTTTAATTTCAAAAAAATTGGCAAGTTTGTTAGAGATATAAATTCAGTTAGATAAATGATTAATTAGTTAAGATATTATATTAGTTGTATCATAAAAAAATCGGTTAGATAATGTAGATAAGAAAATATAATATTAATTAGTTTGTTAGGAATGCGATTATATGAAAATCAAGATAAAATGAAATTTACCCGAAAAATTTTGTTCAGGATCTTTTTCTTTAAATGTTTGAATTTAAAATTTTAATACCGAATTTCGATTATATCACATAAGGAAAAAATAAATAATAAATATTTATTAATATATTAAAATATGTAATTTTGAATTTCATATAAAGTAAAAGGTATAATAATTCAAATTTATTTTTAAAATAACACCTATGATAAATATTTAATTGTTATCTATAAAATTTTTATTTTTTATTATTCTAATGATTTATACATTAAAGTGAACTTAGGTACGGTATGATTTAATTCATTTGAGGTTGTATCTACCGCATTCCGTCCGCACAAACATGTTATAGAAGGATTAACTCAAAAACTTAATTTGACAAAATAAATTACAAATTCATTTCCTATTTTAACGGATAGATTATCACCAAATAAAAAAAAAGGAAGTCAAATATATCGCTAAAATAAAAATTTGTTTTCCCAAATGAAAAGGATCTTGAATTTATCCGATATGGAAGGAATCTCATCCAAAACATATTGAACTCATTCAAATTACAGAATTTCAGAATGAAAAAAAAAAATTCAAACTTTCGAAAAAATTTCAAACAAAATATTAGAGGGAAAAAAATGATTTGAGCGGTAAAATGAAATAATTTTTCAAACATTTTTTCTTCTCTCTATTATATAGTAATAGATTTCCCTTATCTACAACATGATTAGATTTCAAATCTTTTCAGTTCACATTACAATTCGATTTTAATTCGGGATTCAAAATTTGATTAGATTTTTTTTAAATATGTAAAAAAAAGAGAATCCCCTCTCTCTCTCTCTCTCTCTCTCTCTCTCTATATATATATATATATATATATATATATACAAATTTGTGATGAGTTGAATTTTAAATTCAATTTAATATTAACAAATGTATATTTTATGTAAATAAAATTTAATAGAAAAACAAAATTAAAAAGATTGTGTGGTAACATTTTTCGAAATAAATAAATTATGGGAAGGTGATTTTGTTAGCAAAAAATTCAAAGAATTTTGTTTGGGTTCAAATTTTGAATACGTGTATGATTAGTTATAGATAAATGAATCCAACATATTCTAACTACCAAAAAATATGGAAACACATTTCCTTATTTAAAAATTCAAATTCAAGAATGTGAGGAGTTGAATTTTAGATTTAATTTGAAATTAACCACTAATGTATATCTTATGTAAATAAAACATAATAAGAAAAAAAAAATTGTGTGGTAACATTTTTCGAAAAGTGTGAGGAGTTGACTTTTAGATTCAATTTAAAATTAACCAATGTATATCTTATGTAAATAAAATTTAATAAAAACAAGAAAAATAGAAAAAAATGTGTGGTAACATTTTGGAAATCTATTACTATTATTACGACTAAGAAAAATTGTTCAAAAAACTCAAAAAAATTATCTTATTTTCCCGCTTTTTTTTTCGTTTTATTACTTTATTCGGTAAAGTTTTTTTATTCTTTTTTTTCATAATCCCGCCTACATTTCAATTGTAATTTATTTGGACGTATATCATAATCCTTTTTTTTTTTAATCGATTTGGTAGGAATCGGATATTTCCTTTTTTTTTGGAAGGGAGTTGATATAAATCGGATAACATCAATTTAAATTAATTAATTATGAAATTTAATTTCCTTTTTTTTTTTCAAATCCGATTTATATTATATAGATAGATTTCACTTCCTTTTTTTGTAAGCGATTACCTTTTTTTTTGTAAGCGATTGTTTCAATTAAACGTGCACTAAGATCGGGTTGACCGAATTAAACAATTTTGAATAATATTAAATTAATCGATACTATTAAATTAATTTTATTTGATTTTCACGTCTAAAATTTTCCAAAATACTATTTTTATTTTTGTGGAAAATGGCGGTTGGATGAAAAAGTCAAATTCAAATTAAAAAAAATTGTTATTTTGAAAAAGATATTTTATAAACCTTAATTCATAAAAATATGGTCAATGATAATTTTAAATACAACGGGTAAATAAGGTCAATGATATCATAAATTATATTTTATATTCGATAAGTTCAACTTAATTGATGATTTTGTTTGTTAATATTTGCTTAACTACAAAATATTTTAAAGTTTATAAAGAATCTCATTTTATGTAGGTTCTTGGTACTTTTTTATTTGTACATATTCATTTTTCATCCCATATCCAAATACAAATTTAAATGCGGATCTTACATGTTTATTAGAAATATATGTATATTTTTTCAAAAAGTATGACGATCATATAATTAATTTTATCATATATCATATGTTGGATGTTATTAGTTTGGTTGGGGACACTCATTATATTCAAATAAATAATATATAATTTTTCATATTTGGTATTTCTTTTTTTATAATAATAAGATGTTAAATATAAATAACCATGTTTAATATAAAGTCTTAGAAAAGGTTTTAAGTAAAAACCCCTCCGTGCAGCGCACGGGATACACACTAGTTAGAATCTGATGTAGAGAAGCGTACGAATGGGAAGGATAAACGAGATACTCTCTCGATATAATTCACAATCTTATTTCATTTCAATAATCCACCACTAGATAACAAAGAAGATGAGTCTTTAAATAAGACACCCAAAACCCTAAACTAACTTGTCCAACAAGACAATATCTCGTATAATAATATTTAATTTATTCTTCAAGATACCTAATAATAATAATAATAATCTACACCATTCTCCCCCGGTTTGGAAGGCTTCGCCTTCAAAGCAAATGCGCACCCATGGCCGACGTGTGGTGTCGAACCATAGTAGGAAACCCCTGTCGTTTTCCTCGGTCGAACACGAAGGTTGAGCGGCACTGTGATCTACCTTGGCGAGCCACAAAATCCTCGGTTGCGCGAATGACACTTTTCCTCTTCTCCACGTGAGTTACCCGACCAACCCAAACAAATACTTCAGAACCACAATCCAATAAATAACATTTTTTGTTTCCGAGAATCGACTTGAAAAGTACACCATCGTCAACAATGGCAACCTCACACTTCCCTTCATGAAACTGGTGCAACATATATAACTGCGTGTCTTCTTCAACGGTTTTGATAACAACAGTTCCAGCTTCATACTTCAGCCCCAAAGGCTCCTTATCAAAGATCGGCGGACCGTCATAGAGACCGTCCACGAAGGCTAGGCCCCATCGCCGTATGTCACGGCCACCGTATGCAGCGAAGGGGTCAGTCTCGACGTGCGGGGTTGGACTGTCTCCTCACCGTCTTCGTTGTCGGACGGTGGTTGTGGAGATCTCTGGCGGGACTCCTCGCCTGGACCACGGCCTCCACTTTCTCCTCGAATTCCCCCACGCACGCCCCGGTTGCCGGCGTCACAGAACGTTTGCTTGTCTCGAACCATGGTATGGATAGTTAGACGTATGTCCCCGATCTCCGCAGACAGATCTGCAATCTCATGACCCATCGTCTCGAGCTGGCAGCCAAACCACTCGGTCCGGCGGCTCAGGTTGTAGATGGCGGCGACACGTCTGTCGTTTGCAACATCTTGTCGTCGCGACAGCATCGTGAATCGTGCTGACTTCTGATACCAACTGATGTAGGGGAAGCTTACGAGTGAGAAAAATAAACGAAATACTCTCTTGATATAACTCGCAATCTTATTTCATTTCAATAATCCACCACTAGATAACAAAGAAGATGAGTCTTTAAATAAGACACCCAAAACCCTAAACTAACTTGTCCAACAAGACAAGATCTCTTATAATAATATTTAATTTCTAATTTATTCTTCAAGATACCTACTACTACTACTACTACTACTACTACTACTACTACTACTACTACTACTACTACTACTACTACTACTACTAATAATAATAATAATAATAAAATAATAATAATAATAATAATCTACACCAGAATCATATATATATTCTTCATTTCAGCATGTAGTGTAAGTGTGAAATAATTAACTATCGATCAATCCTCGTAAATATCTACGTACTGCAATGCTTTATTAATGTATTATTTATTTTATTTATTTCCACTACTTTATTGACCAAAAGTCACACATTGCCAAGTTTTTGGACTGCAGATTAATCTTATTGATGCATTACCTAGCAACTTCTTGGAATATGGTAACATATGTGTCACAATCAAATAATATACAAATAGTACAATAAGATATCTAACATTTTATTCATGCTGTCTTAATAACAATTAGTTGTGGGATATTGATATATTTTAGTGATCATATACTCACAGTCAAACTTTCTACCAACATGTTGAAAATGAATGCATGTTAAGATAACAATCGCACTCAATATAAAATATCAGGAGTTAAAGATAAGACTATTATAAGTTTCTTGACGAATGAAAAAAATAATTTGATTAAGTGAATGAAAGATGGACCAACTATTCTGCTCAACCTTAATTACATTTGAAAAACGCAATTTTGAATGGTTCACGTTTAGCACAATTAAATTTTTAGAAGAACGCAGAAATACAGGTTCGATATGTTTTTGTGCTCAAGGATGTCGGTTTGGACTGAACCGAACTGCCAATTTTACAAGTTCAGTTTACTTTTTCTTTTGGTTTTCGTGTGGTTTTACATTGAACCGCAATGTCTTTCACCTAAAATCTAATGAATGGTACCCTTCAAAATCAATTCCACGTTTCTTCATTTGTTGACCCGTTGCGACCCGATTCCGTTTGGTCCTCCGTAGTCCCTACCAAGCACCAACTCTTCAGCAGTACAACACACACACATGCTATAGTCCACAACAAGAACAAGACAAATCACAGAGAACGAGTGAGAGAACTCGAAGCACTCATCAGGTTTCAGGCACCCAACAATATTTCTGTACAAAGATGCAATCTTTATCGCCTTTTTCCGTCCACCATCTCCTATTTGCCTTCGCCGTTCAATGTATGCCTGATTATTATCCGCTTTTCTTCGTTTCCTGTCGAAAACCTTTATGTTGTTCATTTTATTTTCTGTTCATTTTATTTTTTGTTCATTTTTCTGTACAGGTTTGTTGAGAATCTCGTTTTGCCAAGATGGGTTTTGCTCCGCGCCATCGATCTTGGAGGCTCAGCCACTCTATTGGAAAGCCACCAATCCAACTCTCGCACCCTCTCATCTTCAAGGTTGTTTTTTTTTTTTTGTCGGGTTTCGATGATTTATTGTGAGTGGTTGGAAAGAGGAAAGAGGAAAGAGAGAGCATCTTTGTTATGGCCGTTGTTATATTTGATGCTGGGCTTGATTGTCGTAATCTTGTTTAACCAAAAGAGAATAATGGCTAGCTTGCAGTTGCAAAGTTTCGATTTTCTCTGTAATGAGAGGTTTCAGATTATAAGGAATAATCTGGTGATGCTAGAAAATTGAAAAGTGGTTGGCAGCAGAACTTATAAAGAAAGTAATTTTGTGTTTCTTTCAAGAATCAGCTTCAGCTCATGGTTTTGCTTTGCATAATTTAATCATAATGCAGAAGGTTGTTTTAAATTTATGATTATGCCTTTGGTGTGACTTGCATACAAATTAGACTTGTGAGCTAAGTATTAGATTGTGGGATAAATAGCTGATCTCGTTGTTTTTGTTGTTTTCAGACTTGCCAGGATTTACACGCAGTGTTTACAGGAGGGACCATGCTCTTATAACTCCCGAAAGTCATGTCTTTAGCCCTTTGCCCGACTGGTATGACGTGTGGACTTCTAAGCTTAGTTCCTAATTGGTATAATATTTTCTTTATTCATCTGTGTATATGGAATTATGGATTGACAGGACTAATACATTGGGTGCTTATCTCATTACACCACCAATGGGGTCACATTTTGTTATGTACTTAGCAAAGATGCAAGGTGGGGTTTTGAGAGGTTACATACATTATTTTCTTGTGAACTGAAGTTAGAGTCTCCAGTGTAATTTTCAGTCCACTATTCGTTTAATAAGTAACTTGCTTATCTGATACTGGTTATGCTAAAGAATTCTATGTTGACGATGAAGTTAAGAATATATTTTCATTGTTTTGAAAATTTTTGCAGAGAATTCAAGATCAGGGCTTCCACTTAAGGATGTTGAGAGGTCCGGAAGCTTTATTTTGCTCAAGAAATTTGGAATAAGAATTCGGTTTTATGTATAAATATGCAGAAGTAATATTTGTGGTTGTCTTTTACATCTGACAGAAATAATTTTATGCTTCTGCTTGCACAATCAGGTTTATATTCGTGCTTCAGGGTGTGGTGACTCTCGGCGATGCATCAGGCATTAAACACGAACTAGAGGTACAAGAGTTTAAATGAAACTGTATGGAAGCTCTATTGATCTCTTCACATATTAAAAGAAGCATCAAAATATTATATCTGAAAACTTGTAGGTGGATTCATATGCCTATCTTCCTCCGAACGCAGAGCATTCGTTGAACTCAAGTGCATCTGCCACACTTGTTATATTTGAAAGAAGGTTATTTTGTTAATCTTTTTCCTATGCATCATTCTATGCTTGTAAAATTACGCTTATCTTCATTGTCAACTAACCTGAAGAAGATGAAAATGAATAAACAGTAACAAAGGATAAGAAAATGAAAACAAATCATCAATAACAAAAATGCATCTGTTTCGACATAAACTTTGACACGGTTATTTATTTCATCTCAGGCACGATTACTTGAAAAATCATGCTCCCGAACAGATTATTGGTTCAACAGATAAGCAGCCCCTTCTAGAGACCCCGGGAGAGGCAAGTTTATGATTTTTTTTTCCTTCTGTTTATTGCTCGAAAGGTATTTCATCTCCTAAAATAATAGTTTCTGGCCAATGGGCCTTAAAAAGGCAGAATCTTTATGCTGCTTCAAAGTGGTAAGTAGGTTATATTTGGTTTTGTCAAATCATTGGCTCAGTATGTGGCTCATTTTTTTTTTAATAATTAATCTGCAAACTAACATTTTTTATTTGTCTCATACTGCTTAGGTCTTTGAGCTAAGGAAGCTACTTCCAACTACATTGCCTTATGATTTCAACATTCATGTAAGTTGCAATCTAGGAAATTTATCGAAACAAGCACAAATATAGTTAATATAGTTTGAACTCAAACATGATATTTGAAACGTGAAATTTTTCATCAAGTTTGCTGCATTCTGTCTGAGTTCTAACATTTTAAACATGCACAAGGAATAAGTGAAATTTCACTTCAGTCTGCACTTTACCCACCCAGATTGTGATGACAATACTGACCCCATACAATTTAGTGTTCTACCCTTACCTGCTTTAATTTAGTTGATTCGTAGAAGGGTTTTTGTTTTTATGGAAACATCTCATTATTACACCAAGCTTATCATTTCCCAACCCAATCCTATGCTTTAAGTAAATTGTATCTGTTTTGGCAGATCATGGATTTTCAACCCGGTGAATTTCTCAATGTAAAGGTATGCTGCCTTTTATCAATGTATATCAAACCCTCAACAAATGAGATGCAATCCATTCGACATTTGTAAAGAGAAAATAAAGGAAAGGCAAGGTATGTGTCAATAAAAAAGAAGACAACTTTTCATTTTATTGCAATTCATATTTGCAGGAAGTTCACTATAACCAGCATGGTTTGTTGCTTTTGGAAGGTCAAGGCATATACCGCTTAGGTGATAGCTGGTAAGGAAGAGCCCTAAAACGAATCTTTTGTTTCAGAAAATTACATTATCCAATAGTCTATTCTGGAAAAATTCGACTCAGAAACCACAGATAATCTGCAAGCTTCATATATCTCAGTGTTGTTTATCCTACTGAAGGACACACGAAGATTCTCATAGAAAGTTATAATTTTTTTACGGTGTGATTGTATTCATATGGCTATTGACTTGTCGTCTTGTCACGTGTTAACCCTACACATAGATTTACGAGTCTTTCCATTTTCCGGTATTTCTTAGGCATAACAATACCAGTTTCTCATAATTTGTATGTAATACTTGTCAAATCAGGTATCCTGTTCAATCGGGTGATGCAATTTGGATGGCCCCATTTGTGCCTCAATGGTAAGTATAAAGAGAGTTGGAAGCTCTTAAACATTAAGTTGAGGATAACATATATTCAAGACTGTTTTTGTTTTTCATCCTTTTCAGGTATGCTGCACTCGGCAAAACAAAGTCGCGCTATTTGTTGTACAAAGATGTCAACAGGAACCCTTTGTAACAAGACAATTGAACAAACTATATTGATCAACTTGTGACCTAATGCTTGTATAAAAGCATGACTAGCTATCTTTAGATGCACAAGACTTTTAATGTTGAGGTTGGTCTAATTATTCAGATTGTGTCTGATGATTGTTTTGGAAAAGCAAATCAAATGGTAAAAGTAAAACCATTTCTTGTTTTGGCCAAGAGTGGTTTGTTCTCGCTCTCTTGCTTGTGATAATTTTTTCACCAAACAGGTAAATATGATATTTTATTGTTTATTTTCATTAACCTTTTACATAAGAATCAAGTGGCATACAGGATGTTAAGTAATAGTGTGTAATACACACCTATCAATCAATAATATGCATAATTAATCTCTTCCTCTCCCAGTTAATATCTTGCTGCCACAGTTTTGTTAATTTTTATAATATGGAAGAAAAAATCTGAAAAATTGTGGTCGGAAAATGATAAAACGACAACTACTATGTGAAAGAATCAAACTCACAAGCGACAAACTGAACCAAAACAGATGGAGAAGTAAGACATACAGTATGTGAAATTTGATATCAATGTCAACTAAAAGAGAGAAAAAAGAAAAACACTTTTCCATAAGTATCCATTAAAATAGATGATAACTGATGGACATTGTTACCAGAAACTGGTAAAATTAACTTCAGTTCCATAGCCATTATCACATCATGAATACGAACTTTTTCTAGAACAGCAAGCTCGCCCAAGCACCAACGAAGGCAAACCCACCAAACGGGGCCAATCGAGAGTACTTTCTGTCTTCTAGGTATGCCACAGCATAACACCTGCAAGTATATGTACCGCCCTCAAAAGCTTATATACATCAAAACAAAATGGAATCGGTTTCTGCTTCAACAATATTTTGTTTATTACTCTCAACATCAACTTTAATCGTAATCCAATGTGTAACGAAATGGACGGCAAAACTAGGATTTTTGAAATGCAGTTTCCAGAAGAATCTTATTGCTAACAAAAAACGTGTTCTGCAGAACTACAGCCGAGTTGGCCGATACCCGAAAAACATATTATGCAATAACTTCAACAAACAGATTGAAGCTTCCAAAAGAACTAATCAACTGCTTAACAAAATAAACCCGGCATAGCAAGACGGCATATTCTCTCATGCGCTTGAGATTTGGCATTTGGGTTTCTTCACAATGTTCCAATTTAGACCACCAAATTCAGCTTAAAGAGTAAGGAAAAAAAGAGACTTGTCTGTTTTTCATATTTTTCCCTCTCTAGCTTTATAGTCTTTTAAGATATCAAACAGTTGGGGATTGCCCAAGGTCTGAGTCGTAGGATCGCATGCATGCACAGACACAAACCGGTTTGGACTTCCCACATCGGTAGGGTGAAACCCGCCCAAACAGTCTCACACATTTTCGTACAATCGGCCTAAAAGGCTGTGTACCAGCTAGACTGAGGCTATAACTAAAGAATCAGAAATTCGGGAAGAGAAACTTACGTCCCAGAAAAGGCCACTATTCCAGTAGTCAATAGGCCTCCAAACTACACATAGAACAGCATAAAAATATAAACAAATAGATTGGCAGAGAAGATTTGCCACAAAGTAACAGCATACAAATGGTAGATAAGTAGTGGGCTCACAATATTTGGGCGTTTAGTTAAAGGAGCTGCAAGCAGAGCTGCTGTGTGAACCAAATGATAGAGAGATGCTGTGTGCCATACCTTATACCCAAAGAATACAACGAATTATTCATAACAAGTAAGAGTATTAAAGATTTAACCTTTTTAAGACAGTAAAATCGGGGAAAGAAATAGGAAGAAAAAAAGGGAACAACATTACCTCTTTGTAAGAAGGGTTCTTGGGCTTGAAGCCATGGGCGCCGTATGTTCCCAACCCAAGAGCCGCTACACCTACAAACAATTGCAGAAAGATACAATTTTTTTAGGTTTAAATGGGAAGGGAGAAAATAATTTGAGGAAAAAACAAAAAATTAGAGAAGAGTGGAATTAAGGAAGAGATTGAACGAGGTTAGGGATACCAGAGAGAGCTGCTACTTTGTGCCACATAAGAGGATTCATTTGCTTGTTTTTTCTTGTGTTTTTTGTTTCTTTTTGATTCTTTGCGGAATGCTTTCAGTTTTGACTTGAAAGCTTAGGGAATGTATATTTTCCAATTTGGTCCATCATTTTCAGGAAACTTCACATTAGCCTTCTTCTATGCGGAAATCACTATTTCTCAGCCACAAACTAAAATTAGACATGCTGGATAGGCTGATCAGCACAAAGATTCTTATGATTTAGTAATTATGTACTAATGTGATTAATCTATATGTTCCGGTGTAATTTTTAGGTCCGATCCTTAACGAACCAATAATCGAGCTCGGCTCGTTATCAATATTAACGAGTCGAAATTGAGTTATAATGAAGTCGAACCTAAATGAAACCAACTATAAAGAATCTTATTTTTCAGCATTAACAGCTGAGCCGAGCCAAACTGACTCCTTAACTAAACGAGATTATCGATGAATTAGAACTCAAATCGTTTATCAAATGACTTGAGCTAAACTCGGGTCTTAACGAGTCGAGCCGAGTCGAGCCGAACCGAACCAAACTAACCGAACCAAACTGACAAGGTGTTCATTTCATTTAACAGTGTAATTTTCATCATTTTTGTAGCC